GGCGAGTGCATCATTGAGTTCACAGCAGGCGAGAAATAGCAGCACCCTCTTCTTGCTGCTCTCCGAAGAGGCTTCTCCACTTCTTCAACTCCTTGCTTCATGTTGTGGTTCCTTCTTGATGCTTTCCCAACGTTGTCATCAGTCAAACCGAACAATCTGACCCATGGGCGCGGTCACCCATGGGCACCCGGCTTGAATGGATAGGGTATGGGTCTTCATCTTCAGTACATCTCGTCGAGAACGCCTACTCTACCCGATGGGTGCCCGATCGACTCGGGCTATACGACGGGTTCGAGCATGGGCATGAGTCAAGACCCGTGGGTAGGGTCGTGGGCGCCAACATACCCGATAAGATTTTCGGCCGTGGGTCTAGTAGAGGTTGACCCCGACCATACCCGACCTGATTGTCAGGTTGACTCATCACAGTACCTAGGCACACATAGAGTTCTGAATTAAAATAGTAACCATGTGTCATTCAAGTGCATAGGAAGCTCACGGAGGAGTTAAGTCACCTTGGTTTGAATGGCGCGTGCATGTGCTCAAGTCATGAGCCCACTCGACTTGTCGGTGAGCCCATGGTGATGTCTATGGGATGTTCTGCATCACCAATATCCTATTAAACGACTATAACTTAACTTGTATTCACTCCATCTTTGAAAGAAGACTTATAATTTTTGGCTGGAGACAAATGGTGCAAAGTTTGTAAGAAAAACCTATCAAGAAATACGATACAAACTAATATCATTAAGTACACAATAAAAACATTCTTATATTATATCTATTTAGTATTGTAGTTGTTGAAGATTTTTCTTACAAACTTGATCTAACTATGCACGGTTTGATTTCAGAGGAGGGAGTAGAAAATAACATAATCCCAACAACTTTCTTATGTATTCGTATGCCTAACATACCTAACATCGTGAACACAACTGTGACCGAAAGACAGTCTCGACAAGAAGATTGGCTTGGTGTGAGACAAGAATCGTATTCTCCCTGAGCCACCCTCAGATGACAAGAATCGTGCTTTCATGCCAACCACACGTCGAAAGCAGAGCAGCTGACAGGGCCTGCCACTAACCGGTGTTCTCTTGGAATAAAGGTTGCGTTGCGTTGCCTCCGACGTTGGCATATTTGCCACTCTCAAGGCAGAATGGCCCCATGCAGCATCTCAATCTCCATGTGATAGTTCCGCGACGACGAGCTCAGCTTTCATCCGCGGCATGGGCAACACCGGGCCGCCTAGGATGACGTCGTGGTGCAGGCACTGCGGCGCGGGCATCGCGGCGCCGCCGGCGGGGCCGAGCTCCGGCGTCCGGTGTGCGCTCTGCCGCCGCGTGACGCGCGTCGAGCGGCACCGCAGCGTGGGCAGCGCATCGAGCGCGCTCGCGCCCCTGTCGCCGCCGCGGACGGCGCGCTCCGCCAGGCTCGAGCTGCCGGCCGGCTACCCGGCGTCCCGCGGCAAGAAGCGCGCCGTCCTCGTCGGCGTCAGCTACACGGGCACCTCCTACGAGCTCAAGGGCACGGTCAAGGACGTCGAGCTGATGAGGAACCTCCTCTGCGACAAGTTTGGTTTCCCCGGCGACTCCATCCTCGTCCTCACCGGTAGTGATTAATCCCAGAATCCGTTCACGAAAGAAAACATCGGCCGAGAAGCCATCGAGAAGTGAGCAAGTGTATCTCATCATCATCTGATGTACGATCGATGCGTTTGTGCTTGTGGCAGAGGAGAGTGACGACCCGAGCAGAGTGCCGACGAGGGAGAACCTGCTGCTGGCGATGCGGTGGCTGGTGGCGGGGTGCGACGCCGGCGACTCGCTGGTGTTCCACTTCTCCGGGCACGGCGTGCAGAAGCTGGACACGGCCGGCGACGAGGTGGACGGGTACAACGAGGCCCTGTGCCCGCTGGACTTCGAGGACAAGGGCAAGATCCTGGACGACGAGATCAACGAGACCATCGTCCGGCCGCTGGGCCCCGGCGTGAAGCTCCACGCCATCATCGACACCTGCCACAGCGGCACCATCCTCGACCTCCGCTACCTCTGCCGCCTCTCCAGGTACGTACGTACTATGTGCTACGTGCAACCGCAACGTTTCTTTCAGACCGTGCTGTGTGTGATCTACTGATCTTTACGACGAGTGAATCTTTGCTGTGATCCATCAAGGACCGGGTACTGGCAGTGGGAGAACCACGTCCGTCCGGGCAAGCCGAAAGGCACCAACGGAGGCCTCGCCATCTCCATCAGCGGCTGCAACGACGACCAGAAGTCGACGGAATCGAGCGTCCAGGGGTTCTCCGATACCGCTGCTATTGGCGCCATGACGGACAGCTTCATCAGGGCCGTGGAGTCCGAGCCGGGGACGACGTACGGGCGGCTGCTGAGCGCGATGAGGGCGACGATCCGCGACAGCCAGGGGACCGGCCGCCGCCTCCCCGGGAGGATCGGCTCCTTCGTCCGCAAGATGATCACTTCCAGCGCCGTGCAGGAGCCCCAGCTCTGCTCTTCTGAGATGTTCGACATCTACCGGAAGCCCTTTCTCCTGTGACTTCTTCCGCGCCGGAGTTGTTCCGAGTCATGTAATTGGCTCGTTTGCCTTACCAATGATGCTGTGGTCCTGTTCTGCACTGCACTTGTGAGCAAACTGAACGGGACATTTCAGTTGTACTGCAGTAGAATCAATATCACTGATTAAAATCACGGGAGAAAGGAAATTGCGGCAGCATTTTTTGCCGCGAAATTTTATCCTAAACCGGCCTGATCTCCAGCGATTTTCACCTGCATGCAAATCATGGTGCGATTCAGCGGCAATTGCGGCAAAATCGCCCACGATTTAAAATCATGATCGAAATTTTAAGTCCAAACTGAACCACATGTTTCTAGAAACAACATTTCAGTTGCTCAACCCACCGAATGACATGTTTCCAGAAACAACATTTCAGTTGCTGAACGCATCGAACAGTTTAGGTGTGAATTTTCATGTGGACTACTCGGCATTGAGGCGAGCTGCCTTTTGCCTCCTGTAATGTGCCTAGCTACTTAGGTTTATCTGTGAGGCTGACAAGGGACTTCACGATCCCAGGGCTGATCTTATCAGCAAGGGCGCCTTTCTCAGAGATCAGAAACGACTTCTCCTTCACAAAGCTCTGCAGCTTCTTGGTGTCGAAGTCTAGGCGTTCTTGATCTGCAACATTGTGAAGAAATGCAATAAGGAATTGCATAATCATTAGTAACGGACTAAGCTTGCTAACCCTGACCTTCTGTAACAGTTACTTTAAAAGTTTGCATGCAAAGAAAATGCCGCAACCATGACACAAGTACGGAATCGGATCACTACTTTTCACCAGGTAAGGAAATCATGCGGTGAAAACAAGCAATTCAACAGACTTCTGAATAAACTTGAAATAAACCCTCCTGGATTTTGAGGCTTTGCATGCATCAAACCTACTTCGACAGCACCGAAATGCACCAACTTCATAGATCCAGATAAAAAAAGGTACCTTCTTCCAGAATAGTGTGTGTTGCATGAAATGGAACACGGGCAAATATATCTGATCCTGGAAACATTAGCCAGGTATGTTCCTTGGGGTCGTGGTTTCCACAAGTCGAGCATATCTCCTTTACCAGCTGCTTGCCTGAGGTTCCTTCCATTTCTTTCATTACGATGTCAAAGGGAGATGGAACACTACTTTTGGTTGTCCTGGCTCTTTTCCGGAGGGCTGTCAATGCCTCCCTGTTAGCATTCCTCATCTTGTCATTTTGCACAAGCTGATGGTCACACAAGAACAAACCATAAGATATCAGCATTCATATATATGACGAAAATAATAGAATAAATTAGCAACCCATACGTACCTCATGCCTAGCTAGAAGAAGTTGCTCTGCATCAGTTTCAATGTCAACCAGAGCCTCTTGAAGCTCCTTCATGTTAGAGTCCATGACAAAACTGCGAAACAATGCCAATTCATTTTCCAAATATAAGAAAATCAATTCAGAATACAATCATCTGCATACCATACATTCATAAGCAACCCACAGAATTTAAAGGTTCCGATTTCTAGCATGTTGCGACATAGAAGCAATAAAGTGCTGAAAACACATGAACAAAATGTGTTGTGCAAAAGTATGAGAACTTGTCTCTAATAAAACATATCTCAAAATACCCCAAGCTGAATCTCCTATTTCAAATAATAACTAGAAAACATATAATAGATATGATAGTTAGTGTTAACTGTTAACAACGAGCAAAAGTAGCTAAAATTAACATATGACAATCACAATGGAATAGATCGATAAGCATTAGGATATGAGAGACATCGACCTACTTCAGGCACACGTATTTGGTACAATAGTACAATGGTAATGTAATATGACTATATATGTGGTTCTGTTCTCTGATGTCCTTGTCATTTAATAGCCTAATTGGATATCGTGGTAAAACCCTTTTGCGTCTACAAAATACTATTGCAATGGCATGATCTGAAATTGTGTGATTAGGCAAACATAACAAAGTACTGCTGCAAGCATGACATACAAAACAAAACACGTTTTTGAAGAGGCAACTAAGGCATCAGCTGCTCAGCAGGCACCAGCAAATCTTATTCAAAGAGTCAACGTTTCAGCAAGCAAACTAGCCGAGCATCTCAGGTCTAATGAATACATTTTCTTGCTACTTCTCTAATAATCTAACGAAAATGTAAACATCAATCATTTAGCTAGAAAACACCTTAACTGATACCCTTATAATGCAAAAGCAATAAAGCATTACACTATGTCCTCTACTGAAGATCCAGATCGAAGCAATTGAATTTTCAACCAGCTGATGTATTTTCAGTTAGCAGATCGCAGCTTCATAGTCTATAAACTAGTGGATTATCAACCTATTGAGCGACCGAAGCACATCAGTCCTGGAAAGAAATTAGTAACTGCTATGACCTCTCGCATTCAGGTTTCAGAGAAAAATCAGGAGGACAAACCTAGCGATATCTGGATGGAAAATGGGAAGAGTCCGCGCTACTGTGCATCGACAGAGCCGAAATTGAAGCAAACCCCAGGCTAATTTTTCCTCAGTAACATGAAAAAAGCTTTGGCACTTATAACTATCCAAGAAATACGTCATAACATTTCAGAAAATATACCCCATACGAAAACACACAAAATAAAGCTTAATTGCTCAATAAATCAAGAATTTTAACTCGATGCTTAATGATCTAGCAAAATAGATAAAAATGTCCAAGTACAAATAATAGTACGTGGAGACAAAAAAAGTACCAAATCAATTGTTTGCTTTATTTGTGCTTCCCATAACTACACAAAACCGGTGGAAAAAAAATCTTTCACCTTCAGTTTTAATTTCAACTCAATTTTCTTCTGCATACACTGATACACATAGACACATAACTAGTTCTTCCAGTATGGTTACTGGTTGTCGCAGTTTTCCACATATTTAATCATACACATGCTAAAACTAAAATTGCGTGAGAAAATTACCCAGCAACCTGGCCGGCTGGCACTGGCCCTAGCAAGCAAGTAGTAGCAGGCAGAGGCGGGGGCGGGGGCAGTCCTGGCCCCCTGGGAGGGGGAGAGCCCGGAGAAGGTAGGGCCGGCGCGGCGGCGCCTGGCTGGAGCAGCACGGAGGCTGGCGCGAGGCGAAACGCCGGCGGGCAAGGGAGGCCGGGAGGGGAATGGACGGCGGACGTCCACAACTAGGCAGCTAGGTCGCAGAGGGCGGCGCAACGAGACTGCTGCAAGCCTGCGAGACGGTGCGTCCGTGCGTGGCTAGGTCGACACGTTGACTGGGCCCTTTGTGCCTGGGGCCTAGGCCGTGTTGGGCTGTTGCATCCGGGCCCAGCACAAGGAAAAACATTCCACATCCTGGGCCTGGGCCTGAGGGCCTGGGGTACAGCTCAATCTGTCTGTATATTCTAAAGTTGTACAACGTACATTACGCAAATGTTAAATGCGAAAGTTTCTCAAAAAAAAAAACAATGCGAAAATGGCCAATTCTTTTATTAATAGTAAATAATAATTCAATAATTACGAAAGTAATAAAGGGCTAGGGAAAATTTCAAAACTAGTAAGGACGTGGTGGACTAACAGCATCCCAACATGGACGCTGATGCAAATAACGTCCCAGCCTGGACGCTATTTTTGCTAGCATCAACCGGGTGGTTAGGTCTAGCCCCGACTCCCTGAACAGATAGTGCTGGCGGCTGTCGCATCCGTCTCGTCCCCGTCGCCCACCTCCATCTCCCCCTACCACGCCGGCCCTGGCCTCCGGCTCATCCCGGCCACCCACCTTCCCATGGACCGCCTCGGCCTCCGCGTCATTGCCCACATCCTCACGACCGCCCTGACCTCCGGCGCATCCCCGACGCCATCATCCCAGTATTGTATTTTGCTCACCAAATTGTTACTCATCATTTGTGTTATGACAAACAATTTTATTAACTTGCAATCAAATATATAGGTACTGAATATTATTGAAATCAGATTGATTTTCAGCTATGCCTAGGCAGTTAGTGAAATCAGTAAAACTACAACAATATAGCATATGAATCAATTATGCTCAACTACTCAAGTACTAGGTTATTTCATAACAGTTCTGAAATTTATATTAGTTTGGTTCGATGCACAATACCTTTTATGAAAGCTATAGAACTAATTTATATCGTTTCATAGATGTTACTGTCATATGAATCTATTAACCAGAATATGAGACAAATAGTAAATCATTAGTAAGAAGTAATTTGAAAGTATCTACTCCATGTACTGTTTCTGAAAGCATCTACACTCAAATCATCAATTGGAGACTAGCAGAATTTATGGCTGAAGTACTGTTTAATTGGGGACTAGCAGAATGCGTGGCCGGAGTACCTTCTATGAGGAAAAATTACAGTGTAGCACCCTGCAAAATTCCACGTTGCTACCAATAGTTGGGACGACGAACAGAGAAGCAGTGGAGAGAAGAGAGAGGGACGACCAACTCCGTCCAACTTGTTGATGCTGCCGCAACGATGTCCTCTACCCAACCCCTTTGGGCATGAGGATGTCGGGGGCAGCCATGAGGATGTGGGCGTCGGGGATGCGCCAGAGGTCGGGTCGATCGTGAGGATGTGGGAGATGACGCAGAGGCCGAGACGGTCCGTGGGAAGGTGGGTGGCCGGGATGAGCCAGAGGCCAGGGCCGGCGTGGTAGGCGGGGAGATGAAGGTGGGCGACAGGGACAAGACGGAGTCGGGGCTAGACCTAACCACCTGGTGGATGCTAGCAAAAATAGCATCAGGCTAGGACGTTATTTGCATCAACATCCATGTTGGGACGCTGTTGTCCACCACGTTCTTACTAGTTTTGAATTTTCGCTAGCCCTTTATTACTTTCATAATTATTGAATTATTAGCTACTATTAATAAAAAAATCCGGGGCTCATTGGCTCCCCACCTATCCGCATTCATGCCCCCCCCCCAGCCGCTGCTCTGTCCGAGGAACCTACTCCTGCTTTAAAGCCCCCCCTCCCCATCGTACACATCCCATTTTTTCCCACACTTCCGTAACCACCGCTACTCGTAGTCGATCTCCCCATTGTCCGCCATCACCATGGTTTGGAAGCAAATCACGTACAACATGATGCTCCGGCTGAAGTGTCACGCTGAGGGGTCCTCACCGCGAACGTCCGACACATGACCTGCATTGCAGCAGGCCAACTTTCAAGTTCTCTGAAGATGAGTGAGTAGGAGGAGGGCGATCCCAAGGTGCTCTTAGTGGTCCAGGAGGAGGAGGAGCAGTAGCCAACGAAGGAGGAGTTGATCTCAGTTGACGACGTGGCCGATGGAGTCGAGGTGGCTGATGTCGTGACCGAAGGGGAAGACACCCCCTTCTCCATGGCGAAGCACTACATGGCGAGGCACAATTCAAGGCGGAGCAAGCGGATGCCTTAGTCGTGGCGATGCTCCTCACAGATCTGGACCTTGTCGTCGAGAACTAGGCGTTCTACGCGTTCGTGTAGAGTGCTCACACAATCAAGCACGAGCGCTGGATCTACATCTAGGACATGGCGAGCTGTAGTCTTCACGGATGACACAACCGACAAGGAGGACGGTGAGGTCGTCGCTCATCTGTGGCCTCTGGGTATGCCGGGATGCCATGGATTCAGCCCGCCACCAATGAGCGTTGAGGTTATTGTTAAATTATGATCTAAGTTCTACTGTATTGGACTAGACGTAGTATATACGGTGTGGGCCTTTGCGTTGGTACCGACGCGTACGAGTACAACTCGTTTACTTGTCCTACAAGGACTCTTATGTGTTGCCCCTCATATATACCCCATGTAGTCGCACCTAAGACGGTCTGTCGTCTCGTGCTTGTAATACTCCTCCATCATAGTGATTGCGCCGTCGTGCGTCCGTGGTTTTCTCCCGCAAGGGTTTCTAGGTAAAAATCCATGTCTCTTGTGTCTCGTTTATTTCTCGTTATTATCTAACAAGTGGTATCAGTTTCAAGTAACGCTACTCCAGTTGTTTCAAAGAATTCAGGTGGAGATAGTGTTTTGAAGGTCATCAAAGGCTCCCTTGTTGTGATGAAAGGTGATTTAAGTTCGACCAATGGTCTTTATTACCTTCGAGGTTCTACCGTTTCAGGTAATGCTACTCCAGTTATTTCAAAGAATTCTGATTGTGATGTTGCTAACTTTTGGCATATGCGTCTTGGACATATGAGTGAACTTGGTTTAGCAGAGTTAAATAAGAGAGGTCTTCTTGATGGATATGAACCTGATAAATTAAAATTTGTGAGCATTGTATCTTCAGCAAGCACAAGAGGGTGAAGTTCAACACTTCGACTCATACAACTGAAGGTATTCTTGATTATGTGCATTCTGATTTATGGGGACCATTTCGCAAGAAGTCACTAGGTGGTGCTAGTTACATATTGACTATTATTGAT